TAATCCTTGAAAACAACACATTTATATATTTAGTAAAATAATTTCAACAGGTGCCTTATACTCACATTAGTTTTAGTTATGCCTTTTGTTTTAAGTATACGAATTTGTTTCGTACGTGTTAAAATATATGCTATGATTTGCTTTGATTTAATTATAGTTTTGAATGTTTTATTATACAAGCAATATGCTTGTTAGGAAATTACTTTGATTCAGCCTCATATATAAGTTTTTTATCTTGATTTATAAGCTTACATGCAATTTTAGTCAATCATACCTTTAACTTAAATCAAACCATACCTGAAGATTGTTGCCAAATCAATTTACAATCATGTTGCGATTCTATTGCCGCCATACAACCTGCACATTAACACCCTTCACGCAAAACAAGTCATCGAAATGCTCTAAACTCTTCCCATCAGTCCCTTATAAACTAATTTTTCTCTATTTGAAAATAAAATCAAATAATCTTTTTTTTTTTGTTATTTATATAGAACATTTATAATGGAGGTTGGACAGTTAATTTTGTTTTGCAAGGTTTATAATAATCATTGTATTAAAAAAAATAAAAATACTAAATTAATACAAGTCAAGTGAATCATTTACTTATACTTACGCGCGATTTTCACTTAAATTAAGTGATATTTATTAGGTTTTTACTGTATTTTATTTGAATTTAATCAAAATAAAAAATCAATCCAATAAAATTAGATGATATCATATAGCTATATTAGATTATCGGCCTGGGATAAGTTAAGTCATGAGTCACATTATTTTAAAATTTAAAAAATATATGATATTGGATTATAAAAAATAATAACCTTGAGATAAATTATAATAAGATTGGAATTTTTTTTTTTAGAAAAAGTGATGCATGTTGGATTAAATAAATTTTAAAATATTAAGATGGTAATATATTTGATAATATAATTTTTTAAAAAGTATTAAGATGCTGGTATATTAATTTGACTCAGGCAAGTCATAATCAACTCATAAAATTTATGATCCGAGATATGAAACTATAATAACTTCATAAAATGCAAATAAAAACAAAGCTAAGAACTTAAATTTAATTAACTTTATATTAAAGGCCGTAGATGAATAAAAAAAAATACCCAAGTAAAAAAAGAAAACTAAAAAGTTATATCCAAGCAAACAAAGATAGCATGAAGTGGGAGAAACGTTTTTATATCCAAATAATTTAATTAAAAATTAAAAATTAAAAAAAAATATTTAACAAACAAAAATAAAAATATATAAAATAACTTGAATTATTTTTAAAATTAATAAAAAAAATAGTGCTGATCTCCAATTAGATTAGGCGCTAAATGACTGAGTTGAAAAAAAAATATTAACTTAAAAAAAAAACCAAATGAACTAGGTGAATCTTCTAAATCCAAGGTAATTTTTAAAATTTATAATCCATTAAATTATAAATTCAAACTACTTAATAAACCTGATTTGATGGGGAATGATGAAATTAAAAAAAATAATTTAAAAAATTTATCAAAACAAAAGACATGATTAACATTAAAAATCATATAAAAAAATAAATAAAAATAACAAGTAGGGATCAATTTTGATATATTAAAAAAATTAAAAGATAATAAAATTAAAAATAAAATTTAATTCTATAAAACAATTCAAATAAAAAAAAAATCAATCAATCCAAAGAGGCAAACCTCACCATGACTGATGGCAAAACATCATGGAGGGCTGTTTTTGGTTGCTGCACACGTTGTTTAAGCTCTTCGAGGCAACTAATTATTTGTCAATGATATATTTTTTTTTTTACTTATTAAAATAATAAATTGCCTCTGAAACTAAATAATAACAGAAAAAAAAATGAAAGTACAAATAAGCTTTTAAAGGTAATGCAAGGAAATTTTGGTTGTGAGAATAATAAAATTATTTTATTGTGCTGTAAAAAGTGGAGTATTGAAAACACTCTGGGGCCAAATTTGGGTATTTTTTGCTTTCAAAAGCAATTAAATAATTTTACTGTGTAAAAAATTGAAGAAGACTCAGTTTCCTTGATCAAATCTGAAATGAGAAATAAATTACGTGGAAAATAAAGGTATTCTTGGTTTGATCTAGTTTGATTCTGATATAAAAATTCAATTGAATTGGAAGATATTATTTATTGATAGTATGATTTGAACTTGAAAAATATGTTATAGCTTTTAAAAAGATTTTAAAAAGATAAATTTTTTAAAAAATATTGAGATAATATGAAATTGTATAGATATTGGTCACCCTACAATTTGGATTATAGACTTTGATGATTTTAATAATTTTTATTGTTTTTTTTTAAATTATTTTCATTTAATTCTATGATAAATTTAGCTACTTGTAAAATTAAGCATCGATCATGAAAAAGATATTTATTTAAAATTGTGTTAACAATATAAAAATTATAAATAAATAAATAATAATTTTTATTTTTTAATTAATCTAATATTGAAGAGTAGTGAAGTAAAAAAAAATAAAAAACTAAAAACTATATATATATATATATATATACATACATATTAGTACGATGGATAAACTGTTAAACTAGTGAATAAAGTAACTCAAGTCAACACTTTTAATTCGCAAATAGAGTAATGGATTTCATTAAAATTAATAATTTATTGTTATTCTTCTAAACTATTATCTATCTAGTTATACGATAACAAGAACACATGTTTGCAAAACTAAGTATCAAATCAATATTAAAATATTTTTCAAGATTATGATAACCTCATATAAATCAAAACAAAATCGATTATGAAATTTAATTATCAACTAGCCCTGGATAATAGAAAGAAAAATAAACGATTACAAATCAAGTTTAATTATATATATATACATAAAATCCTGCTAAACCGCAAATCGGGACAGTTAGAGTTATCTCGTCAAATTCACAAATTAAGTTGCTGCTTTACAAAGTTTAATGAAGTAGTTTTTTTTTTAGTTTTTTTTATTTAACCAATTTTTTTAAAATATTTTTCTAATTTCAATCTGATACTAAAATATTATTTTGATACCACAATAACCATGTAAAAAATAAACTAAAATAAGTTAATAACTCTAAATTTTTATAAATACATTATATAAAAACTAGATTAAATAAAAAAATTAACAACCACAAAGAAAAGAAGGTAAAAACTATGAGGTGTCTCGGTGCGGGGAAAGAGGGCAACACCCCACCTCATCGTAGCTTTATAATATATATTATAGTATAAAAAATGGAAGAATTTGAGATACCTATCGAGCCTTTCTGGAACATGACCACCCCCTCTCCACCTATTATACCAGGTAAAAGAGAACCCTTTAAAATCCAAGTTGAGCAACCCTAGCAAATCCACAAATTGCCTAAAATTCTCAATTTTATGGTGCCCGTAAAGATTAAAATCGAGTTTTCAGGGAATTTATGGACAATCAATCTAAGGTACACTAGCTCGAAAGAAAATTCCATAAAAATATCTGCTATACTTTTTCCTGTGATGTATGGTCAAAGCTAAACTCTTTACATATCATCACAACTACAAAGGAAAAAAAAAAAAAAACAATTAGGAGGGCCCGGCATTTCACTATTTATACATTCGTACTTTATCATGAATTTGCACGGTAAAATAAACTCTGTTTTTTTTTTTTTAATTTTATTATTTAATATTTTATTATTAAATTTAATTATTTTTTTTTTATTGTTATCTTTAATATTTTTAATTAAAATTATTTTTTAATTTTATATATTATAATATTATTTTATTTTATTTTTTGATCAAATTTAATCATTATTATTTTTAGATTTATTTTTTATATTTTGTTTTATTGAATTTGCCTTTTCGAAATCCATCCTTGATTATCTTAGTTATTTTGGTAGCTGAGAACTTTAGATTATTATTTTTTTATGCTTGTTTTTGATGCTTTAATCCATAGTAATTTTATCTACTATGATATATTTTTATTTTATTTTTGTGTTAAATTTAATTTTCATTGTTTTCAAATCTATGTTTTATGTTTTTGATCTTGTTTTATTGAATTTATTTCAAATTTATCCTTGTTTATTTTGGTTGGTTGGGAATTTGACATTATTTTTTAAAAAATTAACATTTTTAATTTAATATTTTATTATTGATTTCATTGGAAATTAATATTTTTTTTTAAAAAAAACTTTTTAGTGTATGAAGTTATTTTAATATTATAACTTCGGTCGTGAATTTAACAGGTTCGATGGGGCTGGCTTAAACCCTTTTTATTTTTTATTATTTTTTTAATATTTTTTCAATATTTTTCTTTTAATATTAGGCTAATAAGAAGGCTAAACTTCATAATTTTATTAAGTATGATTTTCACAGAGTTATTCTAATCCCACTAGTAGGTTATAGATTTAATTTGATTTTTCATCCAAGTTGAATGATAAAAAATTATCTTGCTTGGTTCCTTTGATTTATTTTTTAATAACTCACTTATGTGATGACTCGAACTATAATTATTTTTTTAAAATTATTTTTTTAATTTTATTATCATTATTTTATTCATTTAGAATTAATATTTTTATTTATTTTTTTATACAGTTATCTTGTTTTCAATTATTTTTTATTTTATTAATAAATAAGATTACCAAGATATTTTATAAATATTATAAAGACATGGTTTTATAATATTAACATCAAATCTTTATTATATTTTTCACTTTATTTATTATCAATATGTTATTTTCTAATTATATTATTAAATGAGCAGAGCTTATTAAACACTTTCAAATTAATGACCATGATCTCATTTTCTTTCTCTTCTTTCTATAATATTTACATTGTCTTGATATCATTTTTATATTTAAAAAAATAGGTTAGTTCGCAGAGTGTCACGTACCACTTCAACCCTAAAAGAGTGATATATTTACAAATAACCTATTATTGTCAAGTCTATCAAGCTAGTCACCCACAAGGTTCGATCACATAACTCACCAGTGACAGTAGACGGTCAAGCACGATCAGATTATGCGTGGAAGTATTGATTTGACTAAACGGTAACTGTGAAGGGACTCCCAAGTGATTTTTTCGCCACTGAGAGTCACAATCGGGCCCCTCAGTCTTTACTGGAGCGCTATCCAAAACCCCAAACAAAACCTGCACTTGCTCGTTCCTTCTCACTCAGATCGAAATTCTTTCATTTTTAAGTTTCCGGGTCAAACTGGAAGGTGGGCCCGGGCAGAACTGATTCCCCAACCATCGTCAACGTCATCCAGGAGGAGGAGGAGGAGGTAGACGACGACCACAACAACCAACAAAAAAAATACAAACCGCAACCTGCAGCACAAACCACCCCCTTCAACATCCACAAACCCTAATTCCTCTCTCAAAACGGATTTATATGCATATATTTATTGTTTGAAAAATGTCTACAGATGACGCGACTGAAAAAGCGAGGGAGAATGGGAACGGCGTCGAATTGCCGTCAACGCAAAGGCTGATACCGTTCGAGAACAAGGAGCACAACCCGGAGAGCTACGAGGACATGCAATTGGATTACAGTCCTCTCCTCTTTAGCTCTCTAGAGCGGTACTTGCCACCTAACATGCTCAATTTGCCGCGTGATCGTAAAGTCCACTTCCTGAGTGACATTCTGACTCGCTACTCTCCTCAGGGTGAACACACTCGCGTATGCCTCCTCCTTAACTTTTTTATTATTTATACAAATTGGATTTATTGACACAAGTATACTTAGATTTCATTCGTTATCTACAAGTGATTTAGGGAAACATAAACAAATGTTGCTATATTCGTGGCTCTTCTCGGTTTCTCAATGGCACGTCTCTCTCCAATAGTCTATGGAAATGCGTGTTCTTTATTTCCATGATGTTGAAAATTGAATTTCAGAAAATTATTTGTGTAATTTGGGAGATAATCCGTTTCTTCATGCGCAGAGTTGATTATTACAAGTACGAGTTAGAATTGGATTAAGACCCTGTTTGCTTGCTTTTCAAAAAAAATGATTTTTTCTCTTAAAATTAATTTTTTTAGTGTTTTTTTAATGATAGTTTAGATATGCTGATGTTAAAAATGAATTTTTAAAAAAACCCAAAACATTGTATTGATGCATTTTCAAGTGAAAAACACTTTGAAAATCAATCACTACCTCAAAGCTGCTAGATTTTTCTTGATGTCACCTTGTTTGTCTGTCTATTTTACAGTCATCATGATGTGGTTGAAGTTGAGCTTTGAGATTTTTATTTTTATTTTGACGAGAAACCATCTTTTGGGGGCATACTAATACTTAAACATTGTGTAAAATAAAGGTTGAGATGATAATCTTCTCTCACCAATCTTTAATTGATACTTGACATGATTGTTTCCATGTAGGTTCACAACATCCTGAACTGCTAACAGTACAGTGAGAATCAATGCATTGCCAGAAATTTTGATGCAGCTATCTAGTTCTAGTTATTTGTCTTATCATGTCCGTTCCTTTTCTTTTCTAAATGGTCATACTGTTATCACTGATTTCTGATGCAAACTGGCAGGTTCAAAAGCATCGAAAGTACAGACAGCAGATTCTATCAAACTATGAGGTACATTTCATTTATGAAATTTTTATTGTGAAGTAAACTTTGAGACAATTGTTGCACATGGGATAGGATAGTTTTCCCTTTTCTTTGGTCTTATGCTTCGGGTGCTTTTAGGGGAGTTCCTTTAGCTGATAAGAAGAATTGGGCTGCTCCTTTATGATATTTCTTTTCCTTTTGTATTTGGGAGGATGACTTGCTCTGCTTTTGTAATTCTATTTAGTTATCAATACAATTTTCTCTCATCTGTTTTTTTTCCCCTTTCTCTTTCAATTCAGAAGTCTTATGCTCATATCTAATGTATCCTTATTTACCAGGTTTTATGTTTGTCTATGGTCTTTTCGACATCAGACTGATTTTATGATTTTTGTCATTCCTAGCATTCTTTTTTTAGTATAAACCTGTGTTCATTAACAGGAACACTATCTGAGTGCAAAAGTTTCTCCCACTGCCTATAATGTCAATGTTTATGTAGACACTTACCCTTCTCTTTAAAAACGGAAAATGCTTTCATAATAGCTGGCATTGCATCCATTCTCTCACAGCTGAATCACTGATGGTTATAAACTGAATGACAAGTGCAAATTATTTACCAAATTAGACGAGATCTTAATCTCCATGGAACCGTTTCAATTTTCATGTTCTGACATTAGTTTTCAGTCCTTTTTTTACTTTCAGTTTATAACCATTTGAAATTCTTTTCACAGCCTAGACATAAGGAGCTGTATACTATGAATGCTGCGAATTTCTTTGTTCCGTCATTTCTCAAAGCAATCAGTGAGAACTCAGAAGAGAGTTTCAAACGCATAATGGTGGAGCCTACACCAGGAGTTTATACATTTGAAATATTTCAGCCAAAGTTCTGTGAAATGTTGATGGCTGAGGTTTTATCTTACTCTTCTTGTCATTTTTTTGTGTGTAAATAGCATGTTTTTTTCTTGTATCTTAGTCTGCATTTTCTTGCAACGTTTTGATTGCTTAGGTAGAAAGCATGGAAAGATGGGTGCATGATCAAAGGTTCCATATAATTTGTCCGAACACTATGAACAAATATGGTGTTGTTCTTGATGACTTTGGACTGGAAACCATGCTTAACAAGTTGATGGATGGCTATATATGTCCCATGTCTAGAGGTGATGTGTCTCTATTCAATAAGGCTCTGTGCTTATAAATTATAACTCACAACTAGCATTTATAAATATAGCAAAAGCTTATTTTGGTGTTCTTATTTCTATGCAGTTCTCTTTCCTGAGGTGGGTGGATTAACTCTGGATTCTCACCATGGTTTTGTTGTTGAATACGGAGTGAATAGGGATATTGAGCTTGGTAGGTGCTTACTTTAAAACTTCCTTTTGATAATGCCATCTGTCTCTATGAATAATAATAATTTGTCCGGCCTGTTACTTCCATCTCCTATCATTCAGTAGTGAATGGAACTAAAAGAAGCTACAAAGACCTGGCCCTTTTCTCATCGCTGTTTTGATTCTTCTGTTCCAAAAGCACTGCATGAATTTTTTTCCACATTCTTAGTACTTGTTAGTTGGATAGGACCTACATCTCACATCAATGCTTACACTTGGTTGTTTGAATCATTGTTGATGTCATTTATTTCCTGAAAATAGTTTCAGTTTCTCAGCTGCTAGTTAATGTTTTGCCTTTGCCTCTCTATCACTATTTTTCTTTTGAGAAGCTTTCAATCACTAGCATCAAAAGAGTAATTTGCCCCCTTCTCCTCCCCTTTTTTCCACTTTGCTTTTATTTGATTGCCTTAAATCCTTCTTTGTAGGTTTCCATGTTGATGATTCTGAAATTACCTTGAATGTTTGCTTGGGTGAGCAATTTTATGGTGGAGATTTGTTCTTTCGTGGTGTTCGATGCGATAAACATGTGAATACAGAAACCCAATCAGAGGTATCTTAATTTTCAGGATCAGAGTGCTGCAGATTAACTCGAGGCAGTGCCTTTTCTTTTGTCTATATTATGCTGGCCTGACATGTAGTGGTATTTCATTCAAGTTTTCAGTTTCCTTACGAAGTTTTCTTAAAATTATCACTTATTATTGCTCAATTAGAAATAATATGAACTTGGAAAATTAAAAGGGCATGCTTACCTGGTCAACGGTGCCCTTTTTCTTTAAAAGAAATAGGGTCAAACTTCAAATCCAATAAGCAACTATGATTTCAACAATTATTTATAATCTAGCTCTAAGTTACATGTGAACCGTATCTGTCAATTATTAACAATACTCTAAAAGGCATGGGGAAAGCACTCTAGCTTTCCCCACCTTTTATTTTCGTTGTAATAATATTTTTATTTTGTTATTTTTTTTTGCTTTTACATTTCCCCCCCATGATTTACTTCTGTTTTTTTTTTTAAAAATTATATGTTTTTTTAAAATTATTTTTGCTGATTTCTTTTTAATATTGATCTGGTTGAGAATTTAGCTGTCATTTAAAAAAAATAATTATGAATTGCTACAATGTTTTTCTATATGATTTTTTTTCTCTCTTTTTATGATGTTTTTCTCGAAAGGTTCTTTTTGTTTTTTTTTTTTTCCTTTCATATTGAGCTGGTAGAGGATTTAACTTTGTAGTTTTTTTTTATTAAAAAAACATTGTAGATTGCTACAGTATTTCCCCCACATGGTTTTTGTTTCACTACAATATTTCTCCACATGTTTTTTTTTTTAAAATTCTTTCTTGATTTTTTTTTAATATTAAGCTGATTGAGAATTCAGTTTTTTTGTTTTTTTTCCCCTAAAATTGTTTTCTTTTTTTTTTGTGATTTTTTAAAATTGTTTTTGTCGATTTTATTTTTTTAATATTGAGCTCGTTGAGAATTTAGCTTTATAATTTTTTTTTTAGAACATAGTTGATTGCTACAATGTTTTTCCATTTGTTTTTTTTTTTGTTTTCTTTGTTTTTTTATCTAGAATTGTCTGTCAATTTTAGTTTTTTTTTCATATTGAGCTGGTTGATAATTTAGTTTTGTAGTTTTTTTCTTGAAAAAAAACATTGTGGATTGCTATAGTATTTCTCTACATGATTTTTTCTTACTATAGTGTTTCCTTGCATGTTTTTTTATTGATTTTTTTTCAAAATTATCTGTCGAATTTATTTTTTTCATACTGAGCTGGTTGAAAATTTAGCTTTATAGTTTTTTTTAAATACTGTTAATTGCTAAAGTGTTTTGCCATATAATTTTTTTTGTTACAATTTTTTTGAAAATTATCTTTATTGATTTTATTGTGTTTAATATTGAGCTGATTGAAATTTATAACTGTATATTTCCTCATGAAACACTATAGATTGCTATAGTGTTTCCCTA